CATCTCTTTATTCTCACATTCGGTTGTTTATGTCAGATTTGCATATCGCTGTGTACATTCTTACGAATTGCTTGTCATATCTAACACATATTTTGCGAATTATATTCTCACACCATGCGATAGACATAAGGTAACTGAGCTGTTATAGCTCGAGTTTTAGTTACTGTGAATTTTTACGTGCTTAACTTTGAAAAGCTTTTGCGTCAAGAAATGGTATATGCCTTAGCTTATTGGCATATTGTTGAGAGATGGAAGTCCAGAATGAATGTTCAACGCAATTCAGCGATACAAAAAGGTTGAGCAAATGATTATTACTGTGAGAGAAATAAAATGGAAATTTTTTAAAAGGTGGATGAAGAAACGGATAAAGCGTTGAAGCGGAACACACCGTGCGTTAACGGTCGATATTCACCAGATGCGTCGAACGCTGAACAAGTTCGCAAACAATTCGTAATTCTTGAGGAGTATGCAAAATTGAAAGGACTTACATTTGTTGAAGTCGATACATCCAATCGATTGAGGTGAATGCTCTTAGCGTTTGGAACTCTGTGAGAAAATTTTTTCAAAAAATGATCAGATTGTAGTCGTTGATTTTATAGTATTTCAAATAGTCAGAACAGACTGGCTTAGGTTTCATCCTCTTTTTGATGAGAATTGGAACATTATGTGTGTGCAAATATGAATTTAACTCATTGGAACATTATCAGTTCAAAATGAATTTAACAGAACATTATCAGCTCAGTTCAAAATCATTACATTTTATTCTGAAAAAAAAAACTGCAAAAATTTGTAGAGAACGTGAAATATTTGAGAGACCTCTTGCCTGAATTCCTAATGACGAGTTTCGCACTTAAAATAAACCACTTTCCCGGTTAGTTGCATGGAATTCAGTGGCGTATGCATTAGGTGCACAGTATGGAGTTTGTTGATGCATTTCATGCATTTCACAGATACTGTTATATGTGCGGATTGATAAAGCCAGATCGCTGTCATCACTGTATGTCGTGTGGTGCATGTGTGGTCAAGTATGATCACCACTGCCCATGGATCAACAAGTGTGTATCGTACGCTAACTATAAATTTTTCGTGCTTTATCTCTTCTACAGTTGTGTTCTGATCGCATGGTTTGTTCAAGTGCTTTCATTTTCAATTGTTCACTTCTCTGATTTCCGCACTTTGGTTACCGACTCCAATTGTTAGCCGTTTAATCTGGTCCCGAAAATCAACTCNAGTGAGTTAAAATTAAGAGAATTGTTCTAATAATCCGAAAACTTTTTCGAAATTATTCTTTTATTGTTCAGATCCTGAATTTGTATACGAAAGTTGCATCTGATCAATTTGAGGTGTGTATTAACAAGCGCCGAGTGCATCGTTCGGTATTTTGTACGACAACGTTGGTTGGATGGATTGCCGCATTTCATTCTTGTTAGTGCAGCCGTTATATTGTGTATGGTGTTTTCGTATTATCCACTTGGTCAACTTCTCATCTATCACTTCAAGCTGGCATCACTCAACGAAACAACATGCGAACAAGCCAAACCACCTAATATACGGTCAGCTGTCATAATTTATCATACGAATACATCATTATTCGTTCCGAAGTTCCCTTCATGCGCGGATTGCGATAGAATTCAATATTAGTCGTAGGCATATGGCCGGAATTTGACAGCGATTGGGAATTTCCCATTTTCATGAGGTTGCAAATTTCATCATAAAATTACGTGTGAATTGGACAGCTGCAAGATCTTTCTTCGTTATTTTGAAATTCATTATTCAATTCATCGTTTGATTCGGACGAGAAAGCATTTGCTGCCACAAATACATTCGAGATATATCTTTNTTCACTCCAGAATTGTCAAGTCGATAAACTTGAATTGGTTTTGATTTCAATTGTCTTATTGTTAACAGTGAGTGCCCTCTCAAACCGACAATTTCGATCTTCATCTCTTGTCAAATTCAGTCAATTTCGCTTGAAATAATTCTGCGTTTTCAGTGGGGATCCAAAGGCAGATTATAATATGGGAACGTATCGCAATTTGCGTGCAGCGTTCGGCTGGGGCTTGTGGCTATTTCCGGTTGAAACACACGTTAATGATGGAATGCATTTTCCGATTCGTTACACGATTGCAGCAACTGGAGTTAAGTATAATGCAGTCAGCGTTAAAACAAGTGTTTAATGATGTTGAATTCTGCAGTACATCGTTATGATTTGACTTTATGCAACGGCTAATTATGAGAAGAAATTGCTGTTTTTGATTGCTTGAAATTAGCGATTCGAGGACGAATTTAATCGTAATGTATAAAACTAATCTGGATATCACAATTGTTCTAACAGAGTCCAAAGATTTTTGATGGATAGTGCTTAGTTGCTCCAATATGGAAAATTGCTCGATTAAATCAAAAATATTTTGAATTTGACTCAGATCAAAAATGAACCAACCGTCAGCAGAAAATTCGCCTCAATCATAATCATTATGAAAGTTCGATTGTTTCATTGATTTGCATCGTTGTACCTCATCACAGAGTTCTTTTATCATAGGATGATCACTTTGCACACGTATCTCAGCATCGCAATTGTTTGTTATAAGGAATGTTGTTTTATCGTTTATTGTTTTCATTTTGCTGCATAACACCGCTTTTGTTTTATATCAGTGTTGTTTCAGTCAGATGATAAACTGTCAAAATTATCACTGTCTGCCATGAATGTGATCGCGAATGTAAATCACAGTCAGTAAAAATATCTATGCGCTCACATCAGATAGTAAAAAGTGAACGTATAAACAAGAAAGAATGACCTAATTGCATAGTACATTCATTTGAGTGCATTTTCCTTCTCGCACCGTCTTCAAAAGAATTGTGCAAAAGATTCAAGGATTCAGCACGGCTGAAGGTGCATGACACCTTTCCAGCTCAACCAGATGGG